CTAGTGTCAGTCCTCTGAATGGAATTTTTGGGGAAATATTTTGTTCATTTTTCCAAGGTGCTAGAAAGTTTTCTAAAGCAAAAACCAAATTAAACTAAAACCAACCTGAAAAATCAAAAACAAAAGCAGAGAGAATTTCCATGGATTATAGCAGTATCCTTGATTCCTCAGTCCTAGGTTTTGCTTTTTGAGATCACCTGGAAATAAACTATCTGTACTCAAGACATTGTCTGCAAGTTGAAGAGGTCAGTGGTTTAAGCTCTGGTTAACAGTTAAACTTCGTTTTTCACAGTGGCTGCACCAGTCTGCATTCCTATCAACAGTGCACTAGGGTTCCCTTTTCTCCACAACCTCTCCAGCACTTGTTTATTGTGGGGTGGGGGGGGGCTCTGCCTTCAGAGCCGAGGATGAGAATAAGTCTACCAAGACATGATATTCTTGGGGAGGAGAAGTGGTCAATCTCTCAGAGGAGAAGGGCCTTGAGCCTTTTCCTCAATGGGCTTCTACTGGGTTTAATTTGCATAGGAATACAGGTGGTAAAGCTCATCAATCATTGTCAGGCAGTAATGGTCAAACAATAGGTACCATTCAAAGAACTATGAGGATTTATTCTGAGTCAGGGTCAGATAGCCAAAGGGCCATAAAACTTTGGGGAAGAAACTAATTTTATGCTTGGTACCTTACCATTTAAATTGAGGGCATTCTTAGCAAAGCAGGTTTCGCAGGATTTTATGCATTCTTCCTTTGGCCTGATTGCCCTGGAAACCACCCAGTCCAGCACAGAGCTACCCCTGCCTTTGGCGCTGATTTAGGCTTAAGTCAGGTGGAGGGTGCAGGCAGCGATTAGGAGACTTTTTACAGATAGAATGCAGACTCAGGCTATGACAAAGCCAAGGGGTGAGGGTCCATCACCCTTTTTCTATAGTCCCCTAAGTCCTTCCTTGATGACCCCTTTGCAACTATTCCTGTCTTAGGTTGTCCCACCCTTGAGGAATCTTACCTATCATTGGCTAACCAGTCATCTCCCCAGAGCCAAGCAGGGTGAAGTAAAGGGGGCAGAGGCTGTGCCCCTGGCAGGTGGATAAGCTTTGTATCCTTAATGGCTTATGGTCCCAAGGTATTTTTACTCAGCCTTAGCCATGGGGGGTTACAGCTTCTGAAACCAGGCAGGATGTTTCCCAACACTTGTTTGTTGATTTGTTTATGATGGTCGTTCTGACCAGTGTGAAGTGGTATCTCATTGTGGTTTTAATTTGCATCTTTCTGATAGCTAGTGATGCTGAGCATCACTTCTGGGCCCTCTGTATGTCCTCCCTGGAGAAGTGTCTGTTCAGATCCATTGCCCATTTTTTAATTGGGTTGTTTCTCTTCCTGTAGTAGAGTCATGTGAGTTCTTTATATATTTTTGATATCGAACTCTTGTCTGAGGTATCATTTGCAAATATATTTTTCTATATGGTTGATTCCCTTTTCATTTTACTGCTGTTTTCTTTAGCTGTGAAGAAGCTTTTTAATTTGATGTAGTCCTATTTGTTTATTCTTTCCTTTATATCAGCAAAAATATTGCTACATAAAATATCTGCAATTTTCCTGCCTGTGTTCTCCTCCAGGACTTTTATGATCACAAGTTATATTAAGTCTTTTATTTATCTTGAGTTTATTTTTATGTATGGTGTAGGTTGGTGGTTGAGTTTCATCTTTTTACATGTAGCTGTCCAGATCTCCCAACACCATTTATTGAGGAGGCTATTTTTGCTCCATTTTATTATGCTTCTGCCTCCTTTTTTAAATGTTTATTGACTGTAGAGACCTGGATTTCTGGGCTCTCTATTGGGTTCCATCAGTCTATATATCTGTTCTTATGTAAGTGCCAGACTGTTTTGATGACAGTGGCCTTATAATATAGTTTGATATCAGGTATTATGTTCCCTTCTACTCTGTTCTTTCTCAAAATTGCTGATGCTCTTTGGGGCCTTTTTTTATTATTCCATATAAATTTTTGGAATATTTATTTTATATCTGTGAAATATGCCATTGGTATTTTAATAGGGATTGCATTGAATCTATAAATTGCTTTGGGTAGTATGGACATTTTGATATTAATTCTTCCAATCCATGCACATTGTATATGCTTCCATTTTTTGGTGTGTCTTCCTTAATTTCTTTCTTCAGTGTTGTATAGTTTTCTGAGTACAGATCTTTTAACTCCTTGGTTATGTTTATTCCTAGGTACTTCATTTTTCTTGTTGCTGTAGGAAATGGGTTTTTTCCCCTTAATTTCTGTTTGTGATTATTTTGTTGTTGGTATACAAAAAAGCTTTCAATTTCTGAATTTTATGTGGAGCCTTTAAATTCAGTATTAGCAGTAGGCTGAATACTGGTCTACTGAGTACATCTATACCCTAATCCCTGGAACCCATGAGGATGTTACTTTACATGACCAAGGGGATTTAGCAGCTTTAATAAAAGTTACAGACCTCAGAATATGGAGATCATCTTGGGTGATTCAATGGAGTCTAATCTAATCACATAAATCTTTAAGAGCATAATCTTTCTCTGGTGGATACAGGGAAGAAATATGACAGAAAGGAAAATCAGAGAGATTCTGGCATGAGAAAGATTCCATGTGCTGTTGCTAGTTCTGAGATGTAGGGACCCACATGCAAGGACCAGAGAAACATCTAGGAGCTGAGGGTAGCCCCCAGCTGACAGCCCACATGGAAATAAATAGCCCTCAGTTCTACAGCTGAAGAGAAGAGATTTTGCTGGCAACTGAGGTGAGCTTGGAGGTAGATTCTTGCTTCATGCCCCCAGTAAGGGCCAAGGCCCTGGCATCAGTGAAATGTCAGCTCAGTGTGGCCTGTGCTGGACTTCTAACTTATGGAATCATTCAATGACAAGTGGAGGTTGTTGTAAGCTGGTAATTTGTAGTAATTTGTTATGACAACAATAGAAAACTAATACAGAGTGTGAGATGCAAATCTCTTCAGGTTTTTAGAGAGAAGGTGCAGGAGCAAATCCAGGCAGCTGGTAGTAGGTGGAAATCCTCTTAGGGTACCAAGATTTGAGGAGTGTAGGCACTCTAAGGTGTCCACATGTTCCTATCCATCCAAGGATTTCAGTGCACACAAGAAATAGCGTGAGGGATAACTGTACAAGAAACTCGCCCACTGTGCAGTTCAAGGCCAGGTTTCTAAAATGAGCTGGCTGTTCAGAGCCTGGTTTATACTGGCCTCTTGCCTTCTCATTGATTCAGGAGAGTTTTAGGCCAGCCCAGCCCTCAGGCCCCTATAGGGAAATTGAGAGCAGCTGGGAAGGGGATGCACAAAGAAAGCGCTGACACTTAGATCATAAAACAGGGTAGGGACAGAAGACAGTGCACTGAACAAGAATCAAGTGCATCGGTTCACACCCAGAAAGGCAGGGTCACAGCATGAAAACAGACTCATCACAAGGATGTAAATCAGGAGACAGACAGAAAACAGCCAATAAAATAAAGTAAAAACAAAAAAGCCCCACCCTCTATGAAAGCAGCAGGTGATTCGAATTAGAGCTATGACAAACATATTTCTCAGACACATGAGAATTACTCTCTATTAATGCACCTTGAGCTTCATGGAACATCAGCAAAGCTGTTCTGTCCGCAGATTCAGATTAGGCTAGAGTTCGTCTCTACTGGGTGGCAGGGGGGCTTGGAAATTCCTATTGCAGTGGTCCTACTGTGGGCTGAGCAATGAAGAAAAACGACGCAACACTGCTTCTGTTTGAAATGCCTCTCCTAAAAACTTGGTTTGTCGTTATCTTGTAGATGTTATGCATCTTGTAACCACCATATTGGCTCAGCAGGCCACCAAGATGCTCAGAGCAGACATATCAACCTAACAATGAGGTTTTCATTCCTTTGCCTAGTGTTACCTTCCTAGCACAATTTTGCTGATTACTTCATCTGTTGATTTCTACTCTGTTGAATTTTGTGCATTTGGCCACCAGTTGAAGGTGCCTTTTCTAATGAGACTAAAAAGGAAAGAGTAAAAGAGAGATAGAAAAGAATGAAAAATATGCAAGCATTTATTTCCCCGAATGGATGGCTGGGCACAGTCTTAATCTGTATACATGTGTGCTTCTTTAGAGTTAACAAACCAGAAAGTCTGAGTGAATTAATTCCCAGATGCACAGCCTTTTGTAAATATTAAGTGTCATTGACTGGATGGAAATTTTGATTATGGCATTTCTGCTCCTTTGGGGGACTAAATTCTTGTTTGCTTTTCTGGAGAAAAGTCTTGCTTGACAAAGCAACCACCTGTATTGGCTTTCTTCTCACATTCTTCTGCATTTTGGAAGCACTCATAGCTCCGTAGCAGATCAGGCACGTCACGCGTTCTCATGGGTTGAGATGGAGTCCTTTTTTTTGACCAAAAAATGCTGAGTATACTTGACATATAATATTGTATAAACTTAAGGCGTAAAACATGTTAATTTGGTACTTTATATATTGTAATATGTGGCATCATAGCAATAAGTAGCACCTTTTATCATGCTATGTAATTATCCTTTGTGTTTGGTGGTTGAAATAAAGTTCTAGTCTCTTAGCAAGTTTGGGAATTTTAGTAAAATATTGCCGTCTGGGCATTAACTGTCCAGGGCTTATTTCCTCTTGTTGCAAGTTTCTCCTTCCATTGTTTTGAAGTAACAGAACTGACACAGGTGACTCTAGTGAAAAGAGCAATAACTTTCCTCTTGCAACACTTTGTAGCTTATGAAATACTTTCAAATACATTATTTTGTTTGATTCAGGCATGCTTAGAATTACATGTATTTAACAAATTGTAAATCTTCATCAAAGCCAATGAAATCGCCAACCCAATATGTTGTCTAACAAACCTGAAATTCCACTTTTCCCCCTCATTTTCCTTCTCTTTTGCATCTTTCTCTCTTTTATACTTTTTCATTCACTCATTAATTTACTTAATCCTTTATTTCTTCTTTCTATTTTTTTTCAGGTAGAGTAATGCAAGAAGCCATGTTCTTCTGTCTCTTTCACTTCCTGCTTCAGGAATTGGGAAGGAGGTAGGTGCAGAAATCTGTTCACTGTTTTCTCCACTCGATGTGGCTGCATGGCCTGGGCTCCCATCCTGTCACAGGCTGAAGGGCCCAGGTGGACACAGCAGTTCAGGAGCAAATGGGTGTTGTGTTTTGTTTTCTGCTTGTTTGTTTGTTGCTATTTATCTCAGTAATTCCCCTCTCGTCCTGCTGATTTGCATCAGGGCAGCTTGTATCCAAAATGCAAGCATGAGACAGAACTCTGAGTTAACTTGGGGGGAGAAAGCAGGGACAGAGCAAAGCATCTCCACAGGGTCTCCTATTGGACATAACAACACTTACCAGAAAAACTTTGCCTTTAAAAGGATATTGACTTCCTCGTGAATTAGGAGGATAATATTTTGAGATGGTAGGTGATAACCCTTCCCACTCTTTCTTGTGTCTTGTGGCTCTTCTACGTAACCTGGAGACTGTGGAATTCCACAATTATGCCTCAGGGACTAAATTATACAACAGAGTGCAGAGAACATAAAAGGCTTTAAGAAATCAAACAAACCTGAGTGAATGATGCAAGGCCAAAGACAGGAAAGAATATGTAATTGGGTCCAGAGTAGAGAGATGTTCCCTGGCCAGGAAGGACGGACGTTAAAATCAGAGTCAGCTAGACAATGTTGGGTTACTTATACAAGACCTCATGGACTTCTCTGCCTTGGATTGAAGCCAGTGTTAGACAAAATGGATGGAAAACACACAAAACAAAAATCTTACTAGATTTAGGATGACCTGCAAGAAATGTATATGTGCCCTGCTTTCTAAATGAAGTCAGGGAGATTGTGAGATTTGCAGAATTTTTATGTGCACAGAATGCCATTAAAACACAAACAACATAGGTGTCTGGGTATGCAAACTTAATAAAACTCTATAGAATTTACTCAGGCCCTGCTGGTTTAGGAAGTAGGAACGTGTTTTCAGTGCTCCTGGGAGGGTTCCAAGATCACTGAGCTAGAACAGAACCTGAGAAGACCTTGGGCTGGAATGGGGAGGATGCAACTGAGCTGTATAGACCAATGACCAAAGGGGTCCGTGCCGGTCTGGGTAGCTGCTGAAGACTGAGGAGCGGATTTCCATCCCCATTCCCATCCTACAAGTGTCAAAGTCAGCCCTTGTCCCCTCATTTGGGAAGCAGTAGCAGGGAAGGAGTGAGACTCCTGGATTTGAATGAGATGACTCAGGATTGATTAGTTAAGTTTCTACCAGAGTAGAATGTGAGTATTTTTTAAATTGCATTTCTTGTATCCTGAGTTTTGTAGCGTCAATGCCAAAACCATCTCATGTGCTAAGAAAAAAAACATTTAAAGCTGTGGTGTCAGACTTCCCCCTTAAGATGGCTGAATGAGTGCACGAGTTTATCTCTCCACTCTCCCAAAGGCAAAAAGAAAATATACCTGTTGCAGTTTTAGAGTCTGACCCCGGGGTCTCAACATTTATTTGATTGCCATAGTCCCCTCTCTCAGAGTTTAGTGAGTTGTTCAGAACTCACAGGATGAAAAACTGCACTGAAAGGCAGTGATACAACTGTTACCTTGGTAATTGGTACATTGGAAGGTGGCTTAAATTCATCATGCTTGAGGTGTGAGGGAAGGTGACATCTAGGAAGTGTCATCCAACCTGGAATGTGACTGACTCATCGAGGTAAGTGTGGGGGTGTTAGGAGTGAGACGGCATCCTTGGTAGAAAGCACAGTTTGTGCAGAGACCTTAGAAGTACACCTGTGTGTGTAATTCAGTCTGACAGGAGATTAGGTTGCAAGACAGTAAGAGGTGGCCAAGAGGTAAGGCTAGGAAAGCAAGCAGGAGCAAAATAAGGAAGCCCTTGTAATTCCATGCTAAGGAGGTCGGTTTTATCTGGAGGGCTTGAGGAGCCTCTTAAGCATTTTCAGCAGGGGAATATGTAGTCTTTGAAGTAGGTGAAAGGCATCTAGCCTGCAAGTTAGGGAGACCCTTTAGGGCAGGGGTCCCCAACCCCTGGGCTGTGGACCAGTACCGGGCCTTGGCCTGTTAGGAACCAGGCCACACAGCAGGTGAGTGGCGGGCAGACGAGCGAAGCTTGGACGGTGTTACTGCCTGAGCTCTGCCTTCTGTCTGTCCCCCTCCCATGGAAAACTGTCTTCCATGAAACTGATTCCTGGTGCCAAAAGTTGGGGGGCCCTGCTTTAGGGGCCATTGCAGTCATCTGGGAAAGCCATTACTGATGCCTGAACTAAGAAACTAACAGTAGTAATAAAGAGAAGTTGATAGATCTATGAGACACTCAGATTCCTCGATATAATAAATCATTTTGGTGAATTAATAATCAAGATCTTTTCTACATGATTTCTGGATCCTATAGGTCTCTTCCTTTTGATGTTGCTCTTAGAGCTTTTCTTTCTCCCTGCAGTTTTTTGGAGTTTGCGTTCACAGCCAATACCTGCTGCCTCTGGTTTCATAGCAGAGGACCTCTGTGGTTCTCAAACCCAGATCTGCTGACCTGAGAAGATATGTATATATTCATTGGTCTGATAGAAGGAATTCTATTGTATATATTTATGTATATGTATATATACTGTTCATATATATGGACTGTACATATATGAACAGCTAAATATTCTTCCATGGAATATTTAGCAAGTATATTGCTTTTCCATTTTTTTATATGGAAAAGCCATATAATGTGAAAATAGCTGTTTTTACAGATTATGTGTATTAGAGTGGGTCCCAGAATCTAAAGATCGTCACAAATGTTTCTGGAAACAGGTAACACTGCGAATCCACATACTTGGGCACACAGTAAGAGCAGTGTACTCATCCTGTCCTCATGTCCTTAGGGAGAGAAGGGAAATGGAAAGGAGAGAGCCTCCGGGGTGGGAGGGAGTTTGGCGTTGTTCCGCAGCCTGACTCAGAAGCAGAGTTAAGAGTTCCAAAGTGCACCTGTGACTTAACCGTGAGCATGACGCAGGGACTCGGGGGAGAGAAAAGGAAGGAGAAAAACAAGTCTCTGGACCAGTATTTAATAAAATGCTATTTTCAAGTGGAAAGTATAAAATACATCCAGGATCTCAAAGTATAAAAATAGAGAAATCAAAATTCCCTAAATTGCATGGTTGGGATATAAATAAAAAATTACCCAAATCACATGGCGGCGTTGACATTTCCCCCTATTTAGTGAATAGGATGTGTATTGAGTGAATAATGCGTGTTTGTGCCCTGATTGAGGGCACTTCTAAAGATTTCAGGGAAGTGACCATGCTGTGAATTACTGGACATGTGTTCTCTCAGCTGCTTGAAACCACACTGAGTTGGTGAGATTGAATCACCCTAATATCTACTTGATAATCAGGAGACCTCATGCGACAGAAGCGCTGGCAGAGTGAGGTCGTCTTTCAGTCAGTGAGCTATGGGTGGGCGGGGACATACCACGTGGTCAAGTTAGTCTTGTGGTACATTAAAGCCTCAGTAAGATGACTAGGAAGCAGGGCAAGTGGTTACTTTGTATTCTGTGGTCAGCTCTGTGTAGCTAATGCAGAAAACACCTTTTTACTTCAAAACAATTATTCAAAGTCCTTGTGAAATGCATTAAATCACTCTCCTGCCCTTCACACCTGCAGATTCAACACAGAAGACTAATGCAGAAGCTTAGTGGGCCAGATGAAATGTGTCCTTGTCCCCAGATTCATGCTGGAACCAGCCTTGTTTATGATGAATCTTTTCTACAGTCTGGTTTTCTCACTTTCTCATCGCCTCTGCCCCCCTTGTAAGAAGCCCGGCACTAAAAATGCTGCTAATGGTAAAGGAACCAGTGGGTTAGGTTCTGCTGATTGAGGTTTTAGTTTCCCAAAGTATATGCTGAGATGCTTGCACTTTATAGCTCTGGCTTGTAAGGTTGCTTTTAAAATTTTTTATTATTTTATTTTATTAGTTTTCAACTCTCTGACTTGCAGTTATTGTAAAACTTCACCAGTTTTAGGCTAATAATGTGGCCAAATTCTCTTAGATTTCAGCTACCAGATTTCCCAGAGGTGATAAAAACAGTAAAAAACAACATGGTTGTCCATGCAATTGTATTTTTAAAAAATATTATGATACTTTATTAAAATTCCTAAGTGTATACATCAAAGGAGGTTGTACTTAAAACAGGGCAAATTGAAAGCAAGATTTAGAGAAGTACTGCGATCGATGACTTACTCACTAAATGGCAATTTTCAAAAGTGTTACGTGATCTAATCCCCTTTCCTCCTGAGGCTTAAGCAGAAATAGCATGTTATAATGTATTTCCTGGTGGTGAAAGCCAGGGGAGGGGACATAGTTAAGTCAAATATAAAACATGCTCCTGTGGCTTTTTGGCTTCTAAAGCCCTAATAATTTAATTATGATATGTACAGGGTCTGGCAGAAGTAAGGTCTGTATGAGAGTGGTTGGTAGGTTGATAGTATGGGAGTAATAATTTATGGTTTTAATTGGAATGTTTCACCTAAAATGCCATATGGGGTATTTGAGTGTGACATTGTTATGTTGCAGAGTGACGTGCTTATGATTTTGTAATAAAACAGGGGCATTATTAATGCTGGACCCTCTATTTTTATTTCTGCTTGTTCCCTGGTGCCTAGTGACTGCTCACCAGAGGGTAGAGCTGAACGTCCTTCCAGAAATGTTTTTCTCCGGTGGTGCTGAACTTTTCTGTTCAAATCCCTTTAACTACTTCCTAACCAAGAATATCTGTCTGAAGTTCTATTTTCCCAAGGCCGGTTCTCTGCTAGTTGTCGCTAACTAATAAACAAAAACAACAGACTTTGGGCGCCTCTCAAACACAGTGATATTGAATTAAAGAATCAACTCCGAGGCTCCGGCAGAAGGGGAAGTGGAGGGCCCTGGGTGTGGGCAGGGTCCGCTGTTCCACTTCTGAGTATGTTGCTGACTCTTCCAACCTCTCCTCACGGTCATTTCCATGAGGAAACAATTAGAAAAACAATTGTAACTCCAAAGCAAATCTTT